AGAGCAGGGAGGCCTGCGGGTGGCGCCGTGTGTCTTTGCACCCCCCCCCCACCCCCAGGGTTTTCCTGAGCTGAAAATGTATTACTTCACATGCCCCGGGAGGGTGTAGGCCTAGGGCTCTGGCCCCAGGGGCGGGCCACACCCTTCTCTAGTCCTTGTTTGTCAAAGCTCTTTGGGGACTGCTAACTCACTGCCGTGGCAGCTGGAGGCAGCATCTCCCTTCCTCCTGCAGGACTGCCGGAGAAAGGATGGCGTCCTGGGAGGCCCCGTCCCTCCCACTGCGTTGTGTGTTGAATGTTGTTTATGTGAAGTGATCTTGGACAAAGCGCTCAGCCTCCCATTTCTATCTGTAAATTAGGGATAATGACTCCTTCCTCACAGAATTGTTGGAACTATTAAATTAGACCCCGTATGTAACAGCTTCGTAAAGTGCAAATTTATGGCATAAACCTAAGAGATGACTATTCCCCAGGAGGGGATACAGGGAAGGGGAGCAGGGAGCAGTCCAGGCCGCAGCAGGATGAGGGCAGGTTCCCTGGCTCCCCGAAGGATTTAGCTCCAGCTTGCCGGCAGCTCCCCCCAACCCTGGCTCCCCACCATCCTCCTCTGGTTGTGGCCTTGCTGGGTGAGCTGCAGGGAAATGAATGATCACAGAGTTGAGGTCGGGACTGGACCATCCTGCCGGCTATGGAGTGCCCCAGGGGAGGGAGGTACTCCTTGTCCTCCAGGGTTGGCAAGGCTGGGGGCTCCTAAGAGCAAGCACCCTCGCCAAGGTGGAACACAGGTGCAGAAAGGCCTCTAAGACTTGGAGGACTGAGGTCGGAGGGTTGACTCTTGGAAGAGGTGGGTTCTTAGCAAACCTGGGGCCAGGGTTAGCAGGGTGGGGTGGCCGCCTTGCCTTCCCATGCCGGGCAGTCCGGCTCTCCCTTCTCTTCTCTCAGGGGCGTTTGCACACACCCTCTTTACCATTCTCACCATCTTTGCTCTGGGTAAAGGGGTGCTCTCTGTTTCCTTTGCCAGTTGCTCAACCCCGACTCCTCTAAGTCCCTGACAAATGAGGGCCGTGGCCCCTCCACCTCGTCCAGACTGAGATGCAACAGCTGCAGAGTGGAGTTTACATCCCCCACTCCTTCCCTGGGGTCAAGGGACAGATGCTCTGTTTAGAATGTCTTCAGGGCGGTGACCAGCAAGGGCATTCTTTCTACTTCTCAGGCTTCCCTAGCCAAACATAAGGGATTAGTCAGGAGACAGCTGCAGAGGCCGCAGTCCCTGGGAGATCCTGGTCAGTGTAGCAGTCATGGTCAGGGAAAAAACTGGAGCCTGTCACCTTTGACTGGCGTTTGCAGGTGGTGCCTACCTCAGAGGGTAGTGTGAGTGCAGCAATGTGGCCCCTGGTTGGACAGACCTGGTTTGATTCCTGGCTCTCCCGCTCTCCAGTTGTTTGGGTTTGAGCTACTTCCCTCTCCCGAGCCTGTTTTCTCATCTGCTACATGGAGCTGAACCTCTCTGCTATCCTGGGTTGTCGTTGGGATTCAATGAGTCGATGCTCATAGAAGCATTTCCACTGTCCAGTGAACTCCGGGGGTCCAGGGACAGTTGGTCGCCTTCTGCCATCGTAGCGCAGGGGACTTTCTGTGCTCAGCCCAGGTTAACCACAGGGCATCCGGGCATGGTGTGGCTTCTAGCATCAGGAGCCCCGTGCTGGAAAAGCTCCTTTATTTTTATTTTGACTTTTCCCCACTGGATTCCTTCAATCCAAGTTTCCCTGCATCTCGGGCTCATGAGGCTTTTAGCTGTGGTGTGCCCAGGGCTTGTCATGGTCCAGTAAAGCAGGGCGTGAACGGGAGTGAGACTGAAGGATGAGAGTCTTCAGTAACGAACTCCTCGAACGACAGGAAGAGGAAGAGGATGTGCTGGTGACAGAACACTGTTCAGAGCAGCACGGAGCTATTGGCTTACTGGCTTCCCACGCCTCCCAGGGGCAAGGAGGGCCGGAAGCCCGAGATGAGCAGAGAGGGCGGCACAGCGAGGGCACAAGGGCGCCTCTCACCAGCTGACTTCCTCGGGCCAGCTCGAAGCCCTGTGTTGAGTCTTGCTCCAAGCCTCAGTCGGCCAGGTGATCTGCCGTAAGTGGTTTGTCTTCTCTGGGAGGACCTAAAGTGCTTGGTGAAGTTCTAGGCAAAGGTGGGGGGAGGCACGGGGCAGGCAGGTGAGTGGGTCCCCTTCCATGTGAGCCACAAGAAACACCTGTCCTGCCAGAGTCCAGGACCACCTGGGACCTTGAGTGGTTGCTTTGGCAACCATTGCCTGGGCAGCTCCTCCTCTGAGTTTCAGCTTAGCTGTCAGCGCTGTACAGAGGTCTCCCTTACCCTCGACTTGGCTTCCTTTAGTAAGCCCCCTGGGTAGCGCCCACCAGGAGTTGACTAGTGAATGTGGTTATTTGTGTAACTGTTTGTTTCGCTCCTGTCTCGTGCACTAAACTCCAGGAGCAAAAGCAGTATGCCTCTTTTGCACACTGTCTTATCGCCAGCACGTCACGGTGTCTGGCGTGGAGCAGCAGGTGCTCCGAAATATCCTTGCTGAATGAATGCAGCACTGCCTGCTCGTCCCTCTTTCACGCCTTGTCAGCACCTGATGCCAAAGCATCTCTTCGTTTAGAGCCCTTTACCCCAGCATCTCCTTATAAGAAGATGAAGTAAAGCATGTCCTTCCCTTATAATTCAAAGAGCAAGTCGGCTGAAATAATTGCCCTTCTTCCCATCCTCCCAGCACAGCAGGCTCCACCCAGGATTCCAAAGGCTGCAGGTGAATAATCGCTGCATTTATTTATTTAACTTGGCCTAAGACTGCCCTCTCGTGGTTGAAAATGTAGGTGCGACTAGGAAGGATGAAAACCCCCAAGGCCAAGGAAGGCCTGGGGCTGCTGAGACTGGTGGGTGAGCCAGGGAATAGGTTAGGGCTACAAGAAGGGCATCCAGGTGAAGATCCTTGTCAGTTCTTCATCCTTATAGGGCTCCCTCCAAATCTAACAGGAGGTCCTGGCCAAGGAAGAGCAAGAAATCAAGGAATGCCCCATAAAACCCTACTTGCCCACAGAGAGGGGGCATGGAGGTAGAGGCTAGTTTAAATTGCGATTCTTCTTCCTCAGTGGTGTGCTGGCAAAGGTCTAGCAGACAACTCTGCAAAAGGAAATCTCCATTGGTAGCATTTACCAATTTGCATGGTGTAAATACTCCCACCATGTCAGGGTCAAACTACCAATGAGATAACACTGAGCGAAGAGCTGGGAAGAGACACACTCATACAGGATTCTCACCACGCAGAGACCACGGGCATAAAGAACTTCGACAGCACGGTTAATAGTAAAATACAACAAAATAATAGGGGAGGGATACATTTGAGTATTTATTCCATTTGTTTTCAATATAATGCATTTAATTGCGAGTTTGTGTAATTAAATTTTTCGTAATGGCTGTGTTTAACAACTGACTTGCACAATTCTGGAAAATCTAATCATCGGTTCCTGCAAGCCTATGTGTAAGAGCTGACTCCGGCACGCCACTGTTGCTCCTCCCCTTCCCCCAGCCTCCCCTTCCCTCCTCCGTCTCTGCCTCCTCTTTCATGGCTTTTCTGCCAATCTGTGTGGGTAGGAGGGAAGGGGAATATGGAAAGGAGCTTTGCTGCAGGCATCGTTCTTCTCTGAGCCAGGAGCCAGAAGGTGTTAAGGAAAGAGGAAGGAGAAATGCAAATCTAGCTGTGAAGGACATTTGTGTGCCTCGGAAGGGGGACTGGATTTTGTAATCAAGTCCTGAGGCTGAGCAGTGCCTGGACTGAAGATGGCTGGGTGTGTGCTCAGCCGTCCTGAGGCTCCCCTGGGAGAAGAGGGCCGGCAGGGCTAGGTGAGGCGGCCCGTGGGGAGCCGAGGCAGGCAGAAGTAGGCGCTGGGGAAGTGGCTGAGGTTGATGGGGTTGCCGTCCAGCCGGATGTCCTCCAGCTGCCTGCGGGTGTATCTGTGCTCCACGGGGTCACAGAAGCTGTCTGTCCGCAGGGCCTTTATCTTGTTGTTCTGGAAAGAACACACACAGCTGAGCTCCTGCCTCGAGGGTCCACCATGGGGCAGCCTGGAAGGCTCCCATCAGATATCCCTACCAGCTCCGACTTCCCGGTGCAACTGGAGAAACAGGCACACGGAGCAAAGGTCACATCAGAAGGGATGAGAAGGTCTCAAGGAAAATAGAGACAGAGGAGAGATTAGGAGGGGTGCTGGGAAGATGAGGAGAGGGGATAGGAAAAGGGAGAAGGGAAAGTGGCAGGGTGAGAAGAAACAAAGATGTGGCAGGAGAGGAGGGCTTGAAGGGGTCGAAGTGGAGAAAATCAGACTGTGGCTGTGGACAGTGGTCCAGACGAGACCATCGGTGTGTCTCTGGTGAGCCCCCAGGAAGGAGACCCCCCCCCTAAGCCTCCCAAGCACCCTGCCCGGCCCTGCACCCTGTTAGCTAACCTTCCTCTGTGCTGTTCGCTGTCCTGGCTATGAGGCCCCTCACCTGCAGGTGTAGCGAGCGCAGGCTCAGGGGGAAAGGCCCGGGGATGGAGTCCAGCAGGTTGTCCGCCAAGTACAGGAACTGCAGCTTCTCCAGTGCCTGTGGAGAAAGCAGGGCTGGGAGGCTGGCAGGCCCTGGCCGTGAGAAAGTGCTCAATGGGACGAGTCTGGGGCCTGTTGGCAGTCCATGGCAGTTGTGGGGAATGTGCTTGGGAGACACCCAGGGCAGCAGGAGAGCCGAGGGCGCACAGAGGCAGACTGAGTGTGGGAGCCGGCGTTCAGGGAGCGCTAATCAGAGCAGGATTTGGGCAGAGAGAAGCCTCCAGGAAGAATAATCACTACTGTTCACGGGGCGTCTGCTGTGTGTGTTTGTCTCCCATGTTCTTCGTAGATGCTGTCTTCCTTAACCCCCAGCAACTATGTCGATGGGTCTTAGTAACCTCATTTTGTAAAGGAGAAAAGAACCTCAGGGGTGAGGTGACTTGCCCAGGAACCTAGGTCTCTCTGGCTCCAGAGTCCACACCTTGTCCTGGGCTGAGAAAATAGCCCTGAGCCAAGACATGTCCCTGGGACTAGCAGATGATATTATGGTTACATCTCTGGACTCCCACGTAGTCGACCGCAGTTCGAGTCCTGGACTCATGTGTGTACATGTCCAAAATCCTGAGAGAACAATGGAGAAGGGATTGCGGCGTGGCCATCCCCACTGGGAGGTGACTTTTCACTTTCTGTCTCTCTGTCACTCTCTGTCTCTCTGGCGAGCACACGTGCCCTATAGCAAAAATCTCTCTTAA